GCTATGGGGTGAGAAGGAAGCACGATGCTTCGTCTTCAACAGCCAGGACAGACAGGCGAGAGAAGGCAGGGCACTTCTTTCGCCTGCCTTCACTGAAATGTTCTCCCAGAGTTAAAGGAGCAGAGGAAAGATCGGTAGTGGACAGTATTCAGCCAAGTATCCCCCGAAACATTTCAACCCAAGCAAGTCCGTGGGACATGACGGGACACACCCAAAAATGTTTAGAGAGCTGGCTGCTGTCACCATGAGGCACCTCTCTATCCTCATCAGAAGGCTGTGGAGTTCGGGTGTTGCAGTCTGGATGAGTGGAGAACTAGATGGGTGAAGAACTGGCTCGAATGTTAGGCTCAAAGGGTACCGGTTAGTGGAACAATACGGAAAGTTGTCACAACACAAAACACAAGGTTCCAACTTGATAAGAGAAAAAACACTTTTAGAAATAAATTTCCAAAGTTTTAGAAAAAAGCAGTGAAGCAAACACATTATCCAATCAACAATATTTTGCATTTTACAGATTACCATTTTTGCCATACTAAGTCACAGTACACTAACTTAATACACACAAATGTTCTCAGAAGTAAGTCTTTCATTACAATGGTGTGTCTAAGTGTAAGTATTGAGTTTATAAAATAATTTTCAGTAACACAGTTGCACTATAAGGTATTGCTTAAAATTCTTGATTATGTACCACAATATTAGCGTTACCAGGAATAGATATCCTATTCTGATTATGTAATCAAGAAAAACTTCTGAAAATAATATTCAGAGTACAAACTACTTTTAATCAGCAGCTAAATACCAAGATACTGGCACTGATTACTTCGTTGCTCTAATGACATCTGTAATGTATTCCAAGTGCTGTGCCTGATTGCTTCCCAGCTGATCAGTATTCTGTTCATCACTTCTAGCTGCTGGAATTCTGAGATTTCTTGGAGTTCCGTTGCAAAAGGCTTCAACATTACTTCAGCTAAACAGCTACAGTGCATGCCTTAAAGCAGTCATCACAAACTTTACACTTAGTACTCCACGATAAAACATACTAAGAGAAGAGAGGAAGATTTGGGGGTTCTCTCTGCCCCCCCCCTTTTTATTAATGAGCACTGATTATAAAGCAGTATAATCCAAAGAACTTGATAGACATTGGCCAACGGAATGTAAAATATAGCTGAACTTCAGCTGATCATAGGTTTCTTCAATAACCATGCTGCAGTAGTAACTGTGATACACTTTCATTAACACTGATGTTTTCAACTTTAATATAGGAGATATACACAAGTGATTTAAAAGGCAATTTGAGACATGAAATAAGGTACATGTACGAGCCAAATTCACAACTGTTAAACTTAAATCAATGTCTTGTCTCATATCATTTCTGATTTTTGCCTACTGAAAAAATGAATTTTTAATCCTTCGTTTTACTGAACTAACATGACAAGGGAATGACACAGCCATTACTCTTGGAGAAACTCCTCAGTGGAGAAGTACGAAATGACTGCAGCACCATTCTACTACAGACATGTATTATTTGGTCTAAACATCCTTGCCTAGAACAGCAAAAATACTTAAATTACTCAGGAAAAGAAATACCACTACTGGTCTTCAATTCTGGAAACATTTATACATTCACATTATCTGAAAAGCTATTTGCTCTAAAAATTCTTAGATTCTCTGTTCGCTCTTTTTCATTAATGGACTTCTTACAATTTCAAATTTTTGTTGAATAAATAAAATAATGAAATAATGAAAGTGCTTGCAAAAGTCACTATCACTCTTACAATTTTGAAATGGAACTCTTTCTAATTTTTTTTTGAGTTTAACCAGTTGCTGACAGCTTTTAAGCTCATTGTGTCTACACTTTAAGTTAGAAGTGTTTAAATGGATTACACAAAGAAGTATGAAATCTCAAGCACAGTATTAGTACTGGAATTAGTGGAGAGACACTTGTGCCATATGACAATGAAATATAACAGCTCCTCCTTTCTATCGAAGTCCTAACTGGTGCAGAGATAACTAGTGGTTCAAACATAGGCCTGTGTGAGACAAGAAATTCAAGAATTCATTGCTCCGCAAGAAAGAAGTAACCTCAAACCCTAGAGTTTAGCATAGAATTGGCAGAAAACTTGAGAATGTGACTGCAGTACTTCCAAGTTTTCAAAAAACTTCCACTGCAAGGAGTGCGAAGAGTTTTCATTTCTAACATCAGAGGATTTCTGTTCTGATAAAAGAATATGCAGCAAAGAAGTTCTTATAAGGCCAACATCTTGGCTTCTTAATGCCAACGTCCTGCAATGCCTCATACAGTAACAGCTATTAAGCAGCCAAACCAAAGAAATTGTCAATAAGTATCTTGATAAGACATTTTTAAAACAGGATGTGAGTTGTCTTCCTTTAAAATATCTCTTAAATTTTCTTTAACTCTTGTTGTGTTTTGAAGGAGCTTCTATTCCAGAAGCTAAGTAGGCGAGCAAAAAAGGCAGGAAAAAATCCTTTGAAAAACCTACGATTTCACTTCCAAAATACGCATTCATACAGTTTAAACTAAAGCGTTGTTTCAAATTCGTTTAAACATACAGATTTAGATTTACCTTCTATGAAGTATTTTTCTGACTCTGCATTTCTGTCCCCCTTGCTGCATCACACGTCTCCCTGCCCTTGCAGGCCACTAGTCAGAGTGTCAATCCACAGGTACCTGAGCCACAGAGCGATTCCCTTTTGTCTCTCTCATCAGTTTAGACAAAGACAAATGGCTGACTGTAGAACTGTACTTATAGGTACAATTTAATTGTTAAATTGTACTTACATGTTTACCAACTCACAGCACAGCAAGCCATTTGTATAAATACAAAGGCAGTAATCAAATAAGTAATCGTTCCATTTGAATATTGTAAAATTCCTTTTAGTGGTACATTTCCTGAACTATTTTATATAACTACACGATAACACAGGCTTGCAAAGTATTAACATAATTTCAATCAACAAGAAATTATTAGATAAATTAAAATATGGTGGCCTAAATGAGGTAATCATAGAATCATTAAGGCTAGAAAAGACCCTTAAGATTATTGACTCATGAACTGCTCTTTACTGCAATTTCTCGGAAATTGCACTAGGCAGCTTCAAATACTTACACAATGCACAGCACGTACATCACACAACGCAAGTCATCTCAGCAGTACAACCCCTTTAGTTTCTTTTACATGTTTGTTAGCAAAATGAATGCACGATAACGTCTTGCAAAACCCTGACAGGTTTGTATTTAAAATATTACCGAAGTCTTAGATGTACACTGGGAAACGCTACAATAACGACTACAGAGATCCATTACTAGGAAAAAACCCAAAAACATAAAACCTGCCACCTGTGAGGCTGTTGTTTAATGTATCTAGCCATTCAGTACCCAGTGGAAGTCTTCTGACTGCTGGCTCTCTGTAGTTCACACTTACTCGCTATCAACAGAAAAGCCTCAGAATAACATCATTTAAAGTCAATATAGGCGAAAGTTCTCAGAACTTTGCACTGTTTTATGAGCCTTTGAGAAATATCCAGGTAAAGTGAAATTAACTTAGCTTCCTGGATTATTTAAATTTATGAGTAAAAGATCTTTTCAACAGGGTATAGAACACCTACTGTGTGTCATGAATTTTCTTCCTCTTACAAGGGATACAGAAGATAACAGATTTGGAACACTTAACACGAATGAAAAGTCCTAATTGAAATACTTATTAAAACTCTGCTACAGGAAGGCCAGATGATTCTTAGGAAGAGATTATTTTGTCGCTCTGGGTTAAACCTGGACTTCCAAAATTAATGGAAGAACATACACCAATAAAACAACCGCATAATGGCAGACATTACAGTATGACCAAGCTCCTGAGGTGTTACATAGTAGATTTGATCAAGCTTAAATCTGCTGGTGTTTACACTTTCCCACTCTACCACTAAAATTGTGTTCTAGTCAAAAGAAAGTCCGTAGCCTATAAATAATGTCAATCAATTTGACAGCTAAGGTTTTAAAATCCACTTCGTGGGACACTAAAGAATTAGCGAAAGGTCTCTAAAATGCTCAGAACGTAGCTGTGCCACTGTGGGCTGGGAAGCATCACCTCAGGTGCAAGCAGTGTACGAAGCAGAGCGCAGCACAGAGCACACGGGACTCTGGTTTTGCAAGCTCACCTGGCGAGTGGCTGTGCTGTCAGCCACATAACCAAGGCTTTCTGCAGCTCTGCTTCTTATCAAGGCTAAGGAATGTAAGACACTGTGCTTAGATCTGCTTTTCAGACCACCTGTCAACTGGTGACATCACTTTTTCTTTCACTTCCAAGAAGAGTATATACATTCTTAAAATAGAAAACATTACCAGTCTGTTTTAAAGTTGTAACTGTCAAACTTTGCAACCCACCTTTCTAGATGGTCTGTTGTTCTTCCTCCAACTGTACACAGAACCACACTGATCTCTGAGTCCCACAGCAATGGGACAGAATGCTAAAACTCAAATCTGCTGACTTTTAGCATTTTAAGAATTTCAATATTGAAGCAGTTGAATTTATTAAGCATTATTAAGCCAGAGAACTCTCGGAGCTTCACCTAGTTCAGGTACTCAAAAAGCCATAGTTATTTTTTGTTCTTTTATTGGCATTGTTTTTCCCCAGTGGTTACAGTCTCTATTTGTCTTGCCAAAGCGATTTGTTTAGAAGAAAGAATTTTAATGTGTCTTCATAGGCCTTTTATTTCAAAGAAAATTTCCCCAGGCCCACTGAAAAGAAAGCAACTAACAAAACCACACCCCTAAAATGAATGATACAGGAAGATGGAAGAAATCAGAATAACGTGACAAGAATTATCTACAAAGCACACTTTTTTCCCAAACACCAAAACAGTAGCATACCAAATCCTACAAAATAATATTGTGAAGTCAAGGAAATTAAATTAGTCTTGTTTCCAATCTGAAATGTAAAGAAAATGGAGTAACAATCCCCATTCTAGACTTTTAATTGCCTTACCTGGCATTCCATGGATAAGGTCTCCACACAACACAAAGAACTTGGGTTTTGGTTTTAGTTTGTTAACGGCCTGCACTGCTTGCTCTGCTAGTTTGATTTCTTCTCCCCACTCATCATCTCCATTGTTCGTGTCTCCAACTGCCCAAGCTTTCATCAGTCCAAACTGAGGATCTGCTCCCTGGATGAAGTAGAAGGGGCCCTTCCACTGGTACTCATCAACTAAGAAGAAAAAAAAAGGGGGGTGGGTGAAGTTAAGCACTAGAGAAATTTACAAAGAGAATGAAAGTTTCCATCCATCATTAAATTGATTGCTCTTCACCTAAGTGAGTTGAGGCCGCTTTAATGGAAGTACAGAATTCTGTAGCCATTCGTATAGGACAAGCATAAAAGCAGAAGTACAAAGTTTTCCTCCAATGGGTAGCTGCAACAACTGAAAGTATATTAATCTAATTATACCACACGGTAATTACAGACTGATTAGAGGAAAGATGTGAAGAATTCAGCAAATAGTGCTGGAAATTACAAGACCCTAACACAGCACAAGTGTATAACGTTAAGATTTCTGTTGATGCTTTTAAGATTTCAATTACTGCTTCTTTAATTAACAAGTTATAACATACACAACACATTTCACATGTTATGGTTCCAGTAGACTTGTCCTTAAATTATTAAGGAGTTAAATGTTTTTTGTTCTTATACTTCCAGAGAGAGGCTGGATGTAGCTCATTCTTTGGAGTTAGAACTGAAGCCACTCAACAGGACCAGGTCAGGGAACACAAAATCCAGCAAATCAGAATTGGCAGTAACAATGAAAATCCTAATTTGGAACTGCGACAACAGCTCCTGAGACCTATCACAAAAAGGCGAGAACACAGAAACAAATTTCCATTGGTAGAGTCAGCGCAGAGAGCGGGTACAACAGAACTTGTACTGCTCCGATTTTCTTGTATACTTGTTTCTCTGATGCTGTAATAACAGGTACCACAAAAGAAGCATGATACATAAGACTACAAGCACATTAAGATAAAAAACAACACTCAACACCGGGTAAATAAAGCAACAGTTGGCTACAAATTAGAAACAAAAATGGGTATCCTGTTTCCTAGACTTATGTCTCACACTCCAATTAAAGTACAAACACAAGTACGCTGTGGTTTCTCCAGCTAAATGCATTCATTTGCAACTTGAATATTTCAGTTTGACAGCTGTATTTGGGTTAATACATTTAGTGTTATTGGGAGCTTTTTCAAACAGCATTTAAACTGTTAAAAACTCACCAACTACATCATTCTGTAGTTGAACCTAAAAACAAATGATACACCAAATCATTTAAAATTAAAATATAATCCATGAATATACTCCCATATTACATCAGTCTGATCTGAAACAGAGTTTGAGGCAAAACTAATCTCCCAATAGTTGTGCATAGGCAAGTAGCATGTCCACCACATGGATGTACTTTTGGTCTTATTTGAAGGGATCTAGAACTGGAGCTTCGTTTGTTACAAGATGGGCCGTATGTTTCTTTCAAGGACGGTTAGAAAAGAGATGTCAGAATTCACCTCTTCCCCACGGATATGGATAGGCTGCAGTGAGGGAGAAGGAATGTGGGCAACTCCCAGAAGCTGCTTGTAACTGTCATCTGTTGCTATGGTATCAGATCATTTTGCCAAATGCAAGCTCCTACATTTTAGTTAAAGTAACATTTCATTTCTAAACAAAATTTTTTATAATCTGTTAATATTGTTTGTTAATTCATAGAATCATAGGTTGGAAAAGACCTCTAAGATTATCAAGTGCAACCATCAACCCAACACCACCATGCCTACTAATGCCTCATATCAACATTGCCTTGTTCTAAATAATAATCACGTATTTTATACATCAAAACTTTTAGCCATTCATTATCTTTTAATTCTAAAATGAAATTAACTTTTCCAATTATGTAACTTATTCAGAGAAATGAAATGATCTATCTATCCATGAGTTTGCAATAGAAGCCTTATGGAACCAACTGAATGACACAAAGTCGTTTAGGTTTTTATTTTATATCTTGCATGGCAAAATATGACTGCCACAAAAAACAGCTTACATGCTGCATCAAAGGCATTGTTTGTGAAGAGAAATCAACTTTTAGTTTTTATAAGTGGAAAGCTACAGAAAAAATCATGTAAGAAAGCTTGCATCAGAAATCCTTTATGACCTATGCAAAGTAAAACTGAAAAAAGGGAAGTCCAAAACAGGAACTTGTTTTGGAGGAGCGCCACAATCCTCAAACTCATTAAATGGGAAAAAAGCTCAAGCCCTTGAACAACATGGCAGGATTTTTAACACCTGTCCCTTTTCTAGTAGCTTGGCAGACAGTATTGATAACCAATGCTGAGCAAAATCTACTTGCTTTGTACTGGTTAATCTGAAGTCAGTAATTTTAACACAGCAGCCTAAGTTACACAGAGACACTTCTCTATTTATTTTTACACGAACTACTTCGAAAAGACAGCTACTCTTTGTTTTAAAGGACTGTATCAGTTGTAGCCATACCACATTTGCCTTTCCAAGCCCTGGGGCTGGCATTTGA